CCTCTGGTCTAGCCAGACTTGCAAGGTAGAATTCATACCATGATAGTGGGAGTGGGGAGGAAACATTTAGGAACTAGAGGAAAGTTGTATTTTTCATCATTGCTACATCACTGCCTGACTGGCTCGTCTCCTCCCTAAAACCCCTCTACAGCGGGGTTTTTTGTTTTTTTAAGGGCTCTTTTGCAACCTGTGTGCCATTGCATGTATTCACCATATTTTATTTTGTTTTGTTATATCTGAGAAATGCCCCTGTGAACTTTTATTATGTGTATGCATATGTGTGCAGTGATAGCATTTCACTGACTCTATACTCATATGCACATGGAAGCTGGACAGTGAATAAGGGAGGCCAAAGAAGAATTGATGCAATTGAATTATGATATTGATTGGTGGTACAGCGTGTTAGGTGTTGAACTCAAAACCACCCTGAGTTTGGATGGTGAAAAATGGGCCTTTCTGCTCCAGTAAAGATTTAGTCTTGGAAACCTTTCTGGTGTGTCCTGTTGGGTTGGTGTGATTTGGAATCGACTCTCAGGCAATGAGATCAGGTCCCAGAAGAATGAACAATTTTGTCTTAGAAGAAATTCAACCTGTATACTCCTTAGAATCAAAGATGGCAAGACCTTGTCTCATTTACTTTGGATGTGCTATCAGGAAAGGCCAGTTTCTAGAAAAGGGCCTTATGCTTAGAAAATAGAGGGTCAGTGAAAAGGATGAAGACCCAAGGAACTCGATGGACACATGGCTGCAACAGTGGGCTCAAACATTGCAGCAACTGTGAGGGTGGTGCGGTGCTTCAGAGTGGACACCAGCAGACATAGCAAGGGGAAACGGGGGTGGAAACATTAGAATATTATGTATTCAGATCAAATATATACTTTTTGACAAATAGGTGTTTTGATTATTTTTATTAGAAAAGAAAGTAAGGACCAATTAAGATGTGATTACAGTCTTTATTTGGGACTGTGATGGGCAAGTTTTTGCCTAGTTTTTTTTATATAAATTGAAATATGAAGAGGTTTCAAAATCTTCCTGGAAAATAAAATGAAAGGATAATAGAAAATTACCACAACTTTTTGAAACCCTTGTGTAGGTGGATGTATGTATAAACCTGCCATTGCTGTCTAGTTGGTTGCAAATCATAGTGACACTGTAAGACAGAAAAGAACTACTCGCTGGGGTCTCTGAGGCTAGATCTGTATAGAAGCAGGCAGTCTCCTCTCTCCTGAAGTGGCTGCTGGGTTTGAACTAAGGAACTTTCAATTAGCAGTCCAATGGTTAACCCACAGTGCCATCAGGGTTGCTCATGTATGTGTATATATTTTGTGGTAAAGTGCTGTTCAGTGGAGTCTCAGCAAGTCTGTACA